AAACGAACAAAAAAATTATCTCCTCCTAAAGTGAGTTTTCACCAGGTAGACGTCGAGTAACAGATTCCTCAAGCTGACAGTAACTGGCAACAAAATTGTCATCTTCGAACCACACGCGTCTGGGAGATCCTTGAACTACATAGCAGATGAATTCTTTCTAACCAGAGTTCAGAAAAATGTGAGAATTCATTTAATGGGTTAACCAGTAATTCAATCCATCCTCATAATATCCTATTTAATACCCTCTGATAGTAATCATATTGCCGTGTTCGCCATGCCTCCAAGCTGCTGCTAATTAGAGAAAGCACCAAGGACACACATTGCTGTAGACACCAACAAATCCCATGAAGGACAAGCATAAAAAATGATAAACTAGTAAAGCAACAAAAGAAAATATCAGACCTCTTCTGTCAAAGAAAGATGAAATCGCTTCCAAGTTCTGTATCGTTCTTGGACCACCCTTAAAACAAGGGAAACCAGAATCCTGATACGAGCAAAGAGGGATTAAATTGTATTCATACCAAAATCAAGCAAAGAAATTTCTGTTGCATCTTGTGTACTGATTACAAAAAATACTGATAACCAAATTTATATATACCAAGCATTTTGGAAGGGGAAAACGCCAAAGTGGCACAAAAAATGTGGACCTTTCTCAGTACAACACTCGTTAATTTGAGCCAGGTTTCACAAATTAAAATATAAAAATTGGCATGTGCAGAGTAAACCTTCAAAATTTCACCGTTCATTAATTGCAAAATAAATGTCACCATAAATACTTCAAATGAGTGAAAATTCAACTAAAACGAGAAACCAAGACTTTTTTCAAAGGATCCGCTGCATGAATCATTTTCTTACTCTAGGCTTAACGAAATCATAAATTTTCCAATTATATCACTCTTCAGTTAATAAATAATCACTGATACAAATGAGATCAAGATAAATAGACAGGAAAAAGAATCACCACCTGTAGATACAGAAATGCATTCTTGTGAACATCTAGATAATGTACCCAAGCACCCCTTAATACAAAGAATAAATTTTCTAAATTATTCGTACTTGATCTTTATATTTCAAAACTTGACACCTTATATTTACGATATAATTACGTTACAGAAAACATGTAACAGTAGGAAAAGGAGTTTTGAAAAAATGTGATTTTCTAATTCAAAACGCTAATTGGGCAGGGTCTCAACCTGGTCATATTCTTTTACTAATACCTTGTTTGATTTCTATTTTTTTAAAGTACATTTTTTCAATATACCTGTGTGTATTATAATGAGAACCAGAGCTCTATATTTATAGGAAATGAATGTGGATACATACAGGGGGCGGACCTAAGATTATGGTTCGGGGGGGCGAGATAGAATTAAGTAAAAAATAATTTCAAATTAGACAAATTTAAAATTCTTGGTCGCTACAGGAAATCAGCGAGAGACCATTCCTTGGAGTCGACATCAGGCCTGTGAAAGCTTGTCGTCTGACGACCATTTTTGAAGTCGACTCGGAACTCGAACACTGCTCCTCCGCTGGCGAGTGCGTGAAACACCATTAAACAACAAACCTCCGACCAGACCTTTGAAGCACCGGTGGGTAAGCAGTTAAGTAGGTTTCTTCCCGACTTTTACAGAAACATTTTTTTCCATAGTGACTCAGAAAGTTTGGTGTTCAATAGTTTTCACTTTTGAGTTTGAATCTCGGTTAATGGTGCAATTAGTGAGTTTGGTTTTGTTGGGTTCTGTCCAATGTTGTTCTATTTTTTTTCAATTTTGTTCAAATTGTTGATTGATTGTTCCTTAGAAAAGATAAGTTTTCATGGTAGAAAATCACATGAAAATAAACAAGCATATTCCATTATTCATTGATTGAGTGCAACTTCAATAAAGAATCCCGTATAAATTGAAAAATCAAACCAAATTCTTGGGTTTTAAGTTCCCAAAATTTTGATATTTCTAGCGTTATAATCATTTTGATGTCTCGAATGAGTTGTCAAGAACAAGGAAACTATATATTGGGTACATGAATGTTATCCAATATGAGTTCGGTTTTGTTCAATTTTAAGTTACCATTTCTGTGTTTCTTTTTTCCAGTTTTGTTCTTGTCTGAAATAAAATGCAAGCTATGGATGAAGATGTTGAATAAGATCCCGTGTGAAGGGTTCCACTTAATAAAATGTAGTACTGGTTATTGTTTAATTTGATCTAAGCCAATTCGTGATTGAAAATGGTAGTTGGGTTTTGTTGAACCCAAATTTGGTTGAATGGCGGAGTTAGTATGCTTGTTTATTTTGATGTGATTTTCGTCTGTAATTAGTTTGTTCTCAACCTCAGGATGAAAGGGGCAAATTTCGGAGTTTGCCACAATTGTAGAAGCACGACGCATTATTTTAAGGATTGCCCGAGAAAATTTCGATGCACGTGGTGTCCACATGGAATTCAAAAGTGTTTTTAGGTTGAAAGGAACACCAGTAACAAGGGGCGACTATTCAAAACTTGTAGTGATGAATGCGGCTACTTCGATCGGGTAAAAAATGAAGAATCAACCGGTGAATTGAGTACCGTTAATGAATGTTTGACAAACGAGGAAGCAAAAGATTTGCCCAGAATGTTTGACTCTCTTGCTCGAATAGCCAACAAAAGAAACGTCGAGATTTCACTGAACTTGACATTTCGCAAGGGAAAATGACGTGCGGAGTAGTATGGAAGATGAAATTGCTGTTGGCTGTCATGTTTAGTAGTTAGTTGTTGAATATGTATTTGTATTGTATTAGTTGTTGAATAGGTACTTGTATTGTGTTAGTTGTTGAATATATATTCGTATTGTGTTCCTTTTCGAATTGTGAATGGTTATCATTTCATAAAATTTTCTTCACATCTTTTCTTCACTGTTTCCCACTCCATTTTTTCTACTAACTTCTTTGCCTCGTCCAACATTAGCTCATTACAAAAATAATTCAAATACTCTACACAATCTGGAGCTGAATCTGGAGTAGTGTTCAGCTAACTCAAAATGAACCTGTTGTAATCTATGGAAAAGACCCTGCAATCTGAATTAGACATTTCATCAAACACTTGGATTGCCTTATCAATAAGTTGACTTAATATTCTCATGTAACAAACTTCTATAGCCACAATGTAATACATAAGAAACCAGTTCCAAGAAACCACATTACAAAAATCCCATTAAACTCCAACTAAATAAGAGAAACATGATTCTTTTACAACTAAATGGAACATTTGACGAGTACACTCTCAAAAACGAATTCACCAAGCTTGTAATTCTAATTGTTGTTGGCTACCACTCTCACCCTGCATTACGTAACATCCCACACATGGCTAAGATCATATTGAATGAAGCAACTGGAAATATAGACACCAAGCCAAAAAAAGACCATACCAAAAAGACTTGTGAACTGGACATCGATGTCAGCAGCGAGGAACAATGTTGAGATGCCTCAACCTCGGGCACAACCCCTTCCACAGTATTATGTCTACCTCTCGATCTCTTGCCTTTTACTGAAGACGAATTTGCTTGCATGTAAATCGAAAATTATGTAGGAATATGGAAAACCCACTTGAAAAGCATATCGCTTGTAAAAGTCGAGAATTTCTTTTTCGTCATTAAACATGCTACCCACCTCAGGCACGTTCACATCATCTCCTCCCAGCATATCATTTGTAACTTCGTTTGCATCGTTTGTAACGTTCTCATTCCCCAATTCAACCAATAAATCATTATGCTCCTCTTCCATAGTTTCCATTCCTGCAATG